GATACAAATTATCAAAGATGACACAAAGTGAAGCAGAAAATCTGAATTGCCTCACATCCATTAAAGAAATCAAATTCATAATTTTAAAACTTCCCACCAAGAAAACAACAAACCCAGACAGCTTCATTGGTGAAGTCTATCAAATGTTTCAGGAAGAAGGAATAGCCATACTACACAAAGTCTTTCAGAAAATAGAGGACAGGACATGGCCCAACTCATCTATAAGAACAGGAAAACCCCAACAGAAATGCAGACAGACAAGGAGGTTACAAGGGAAAATACAGACTAAGATCCCTCACGAACACAGACCCAAAAGTCTTCATAAACTCTTAGTGAACTGCACACAGTAAATAGAAAAAGGTGACAGGGCATGACCAAAAGAGCATCTTCCAGTAACACAAGACTGGCTTAACATAATGAAGAGCAGCCACTGTAATCCACCATTTTAACAGATTAAAGGAGAAGAAAAAAATCATATGAGTATTTCAATGGATGCAAAACAAGCAGTTGACAAAATGTCAGGCCCATTCATGATAAAAACTCTCGGCAAACTAAAAATAGAAGAAACTCCCACAACTTGAGTAAAAGACATCTATTAAAAAACCGACAGCTAACATCATGTTGTAACTGTGAAATGCTGACCATTTCCCCCTAAAGACGGGAAGTCGAGGATGTGCACGCTCATCACTGCTGTTCAACACTGTACGTAGATTCTGGCCAGTGTGGCAAGGACAGAAAACAAAACAAAAGCCACAGATTAGAAAGGAAGAAGTGAAACTGTCTCTGTGGAGGTGGAATGATTGTTTACAAGAGAAATCCTAAGAAATATACAAAAAAAAACCTACTCTTATTTATAAGTGAATTTAGCAATGTTCCAAGAATATAAAGTCAATCTACAAAATCAATTGTTATTTCTATATACTAGTAACAAATAATTGGGAAATGAAACTTAAATATCACTTACAATGGCATTCAAAAGCATAATTTGTTTGTGGGGATAAATTTCATAAAAAATGTGTGAGACCTGTACACTGAAAACTATAAAACACTGGTGAGAGAAATTCAAGATCTAAATAATGGAAAAACTATGGCATATGGTACAACATATGTATATAAATAAAATGAGCAGATCCATTAATCCATGTCCATGGATTAGAGAGCTCAATTTTATTAAGGTTCTTCTCAAAATGATCTAATATTTACTACAATCCCAATGAAAATTATAGTAGGCATATTTTTGAGGAATCAACAAGCTGATTCTAAAATTTATATGAAAATGCAAAGAACCCAGAATAGACAAAGCAATTTTTAAAAAGAGGAACAAAGATGGAAGACTTAGATTACTTTGGCTGAAGATTTATTATAATGTCATGAGACAGTGTGAACCAGTGAATGAATAAACTGATCAACATAAGAGAACAGAGAATCCAGAAATAAACCCTCACTAAAACAGTCAAATGATTTTGACAACATGCCAAAGTGATTCAATGAGGAAAGAAGTTTTTTCAGTAAACGGTGCTGGGACAACTGGTTACTCATATAGAACAAAAGCTGAACCTAGATTTACAGCGTCTGAAAAATCAATTAGAGAAGGGTCATGGGGCTAAGTGGAAAACTGAATCTCAAAGCTTCTGGAAGAAGAAAACAGGCGAGTGTCTTCGTGACTTTTGGTTAGGGAAAGCCTTTTAGGTAGGACACAGAAAGCATGCATGATCCCCCCCCCCAAAAAAAAAAACCCAATAAATTGAACTTCCATCAATATTAAAAACTTCTGCTCACGACTACACCATTATGGTGGATACAAGGCTCTCTGCGTTTGTTGAAACCCACAAAACTATGTATCACAGACAGTCAACTTGCATGTACGAAAAACAAATTAACGCCAACCAGAATGTCAGGGGTCTCAGGACGGAATGCAGACTGACCACTGACTAACCGTGTCACAGATGTGTGACATCCACACACTGAAGGAGATGGGGACAAGGCGCTGGCCGCAGGGCTCGGGAAAACGGAGTCTGGACCGAAACAGGAAGCCGGGAGACACAGGTAAGTGCATACACAGTGTGCTCTGGCTGGTAAGTCTACTCCTCGTGGGGCTGGATACTGGTGAAAGATTCTGGACCTGCTCTGCATGTACATGGGTGGGACCAGTAAGAAAAAGGACAGCAGGTGCTGGGAGCCAGGTTCCCATGGGGGTGGGAAGGTTACAGACTCACAACTGAACACACACACACACACACACACACACACACACACACACACGTCCCCTTGCTATCCGCAGAGAGGACTACAGCAGTGGCCCGACAGTTCACTCCTGGGTGTCCGCCCAAGAGAAAGGCTGACATGTCACAGACATGTGCAACAGTGTCACACGAGCCAAACTCGAGGAACCCACCCACGTGCCATCAGAGGACACAGTACAAGTGGCACCTCCCCAGGAGCAGTGGTGACACAGCAAGACAGAGGCGCCTCAGCAACCCAAGCTGGACGTGAACAGCAGGCACAGTTTAGCTCCATTAAAACGAGGTCTGGCAGAGACCAGGGCGCTTGCTCCTGGGGGCCAGGTCTGCAAAGGCTTATGAGGGTTCCATTTGCCTGGCGGCTGTGACAAACCGGAGGAATGGCCACAGACTGGACATCAGAGGCAAGGAGGTCCACGATGGGCAATGTGGTGCCCTGCCTTGCAGAGGCCCCCTTCCAGCCGCGTGCTCACAGGGCCTTTCCTTGGTGCATGTGACAGGAGAGGGGAGGTCTCTCTGTATCAGGGCAGTGACCCCATTATGGAGGCCCACCCTGGTGTCACCCTAAGCACCTCCCAAAGGCCCCACCCCACCTACCCTCCCTGGGGGTGGGGGACGCAGGGCTTCAACCCATGGACTGGGGGTGCACAAGCTTTCAGCCCACACCGCCAGGGGACCTTCAGGGGTGACAGAAATGCGTTCTATCTGATGTGTGTGCAAGTTACACAGCTGGATGCATTTGTCAAAAGTGCTCACATGGGACCTATGCACTTTGCTGTAGATGAAGTATACCTCAAAACTAACTGAATAAATGCAACTCATTTTCTATTTAGAAAACCTTATTGGAGCTGAAAAGCTAAATTATTGGGTAAACAATTTCTACAAGGTAATGAGAAATTCGATGAGAATTTAAATCATACTATATAGTTCTTACACACCTCTTATTTTTCCTTACAGCAGTTCTCAACCTGTGGGGCGCGACCCCTTTGGGGGTCGAACACCCCTTTCACAGTGGTAGCCGGGTACTCATATGTGGGCGTATCTGCATGTGGGCCTGGAGACGGATAGAGGAGCGGTGTCTCGGTTCCTAAGACCATTGAAAATATGTGTTTTCCAATGGTCTTAGGCGACCCCTGTGAAAGGTTGAGAACCGCTGCCTTAGAAGAACTGGTTTCAATGAAGACGTGATGCCTCAGCTCACTGTGACACTAAACAAGTCACACATAACGGTAACTGCGTGGAATTACTTTTGGTCGGTCATCAGGGTGCTGGCAGGACAACCATGTCACGGGCTCTCCGGGAAGCCTCGCAGGGTGGCTCCCGGAGGAGGTGGGCCGCAGCGCACCAAGGTGCTCAAGCCGCTGTGGCCGGAGGACGCATCGGCGTCCGCGTTTCAGGTGGGCCGACCTGTTTCTCCCACTGAGGACAACACACGGGGGCCGGCTGGACCCCCACCCACCAGCGTTGGTGCGGCCGGTCATCGGGTAGCAGAGGGAGCCGGCGTGCAAAGCGGCTCTCGGGAAGCAATGAAAACCGGTTCTCAATCTCAAAACCCCATCTTGTGCAGTGAGACAGTAAACGCTGACGACCTGATCGGGTGTAAAGCAAACGCCGCAGCCTGGCGCCTGCCGCTGGGGTCCCCGTGCTAGGGGCCCTCTCACAGGCCTCCTCGGCCTTGGGGACGTGGAACTCTGCGCTGCGGGGACCGGACGGCCTTCTTCAGGCGGATCGCAGCTCACCTCGGAGGGCCAGGGAACGCGAGGGGTCCCGCTGGGGGCCAGCCCCGCAGGTGACCGCCACCAGGGCGTCCATTCGCTCCGCTTCGCCAGGAGTACGCGGGGGCGGGGCGGCCCGGGAAGCGCCGCTTTCGGAGTCATCCCGACCGGCCTTCCTGCTCTGAGCCTCTCAACACAACGCGGCCACTAAGGATCCCGGCTGAACACAGACGACGAAGCGGCGGCTCCCGGCCGCGGACTGGGAAGCGGGAACCACCCCGCTGCGCGATTCCACGTCGCGGCGCCGCCTCCCCGGGCGGCCCCGGTTCAAACCGCCGGGAAGACCCGGTCTGCCTTCTCCGCTACCGGCGTGACGCCAAGAGCGACGCACAACAAAAACGGGGCAAAGTTTGATATCTTCGATTTTACTCAGACAGGCGCTGAAGAATTCAGTCACAAAACAGTTTTTTTCTAAACCACCTGCTCGCAAATCACGAACTACAACATTTATTAAACTGTTACAGTGACGACACACAACTTTAGGGTGAAAACCTACATTACGACTCAACCGTGACTATTTCGTGGCGATAAACGGACTAAGAGAAACGTGGGCGCCTCGAGGAAAACAGCCCGTCAGGTCCGCGACAGTCCAGCGCGGCCCCGTCTCGCCCTGGGCGACGTTCCGGGGGGTGTCGGCACCCACCTGCCTGAAGCCCGGGGGGGTGCGTGGCCTCCTAGGACTTCGGGGCTCGCGGAGGGGGTCCCAGGTTCAGTTACAAGGGCTCCCTTCGCTCACAACGCCCGGGGAGGTTCGGTCGGCCCCGGGGGCCCGGGTACTCGCCGACCTTTGTTCAGCCTCCGCGCCCCACCCCCGCCGCCGCAGCCGAGGCTACCCGGCC